CCGCCCGGCGATAAAGGCGCAAGTGTTGGCTGAGTTTGTGGCTGAGGGGGTGATAAGTGCGGGAAATGTCGCGGAGGAGGCATGGCAGGTCTATGTGGACGGCGCAGCGAGTAAGTCGGGCGCCGGAGCTGGAGTGGTGGTTGTGAGCCCCTTGGGGGTGACGCATGAATTGGCCCTTCGTTTCGCAACCCTGAAGACCAATAACGCGGCTGAATACGAAGCGGTGATCGCCGGGCTTCACACGGCTCGGGAGCTCGGCGCCCAAAAGATTCAGCGTCGCTCGGACTCGGCGTTGGTAGTAAATCAGCTGAACGGCGTATACGAGGTGAAGGAGGAGGCCCTAAGTACCTACGTTACCATGGTAAAGGCAAAGGGGGCGTGGTTTAAGGAGGTGGAATTCATACATGTGCCAAGGGAGGAGAACGCCCACGCGGACGGTCTATCCAAGCTCGCCACGGCAACTGACTTCGAGGAAGATAGGCAAGTCATCGTCACCAAAGAGCATTCAGTGCGTGAATCTGTTATAGGAGCGATCACCGAGTCCGAAGAGGGTGAGATCTGGATGTCACCAATCAGGGCATACTTGGTGCAAGGGATCCTCCCGGACAACGACAGGGACGCGTGGCAGGTGCGGCGCAAAGCCGCGCGTTGCACGCTCATCGATGGCCGGATGTACAAGCGATCGCACTCCGGTGTCTACCTAAGGTGCCTCACTGAGGTCGAAGGGAAGCAGGCAATTGAAGAAGTCCATCAGGGAGCGTGCGGCATGCATGCGGGAGCACGCAGTCTCGAGAAGGTACTGTTGAGGCAGGGGTACTACTGGCCAACCATCAGGGCGGACGCAGCGAAACACGTGGCCAGCTGCCACCAATGCCAGATACATGCCAATGACATCCACGTTCCCGCTGCGCCTATGCGCGGAAATGTGGGTGCATGGCCGTTTTCCCAGTGGGGCATGGACTTGTTAGGACCATTCCCCAAAGCCCCCGGGCAGATGAAATACCTGATAGTGGCGGTGGACTATTTCTCCAAATGGATCGAAGCCGAGCCTCTGGTGTCTATTACTCAGGCGCAGGTCCGTAAGTTCACAAACAGGAACATCTTTACGCGTTTCGGGTTGCCCGAGGCCATAGTGACCGATCATGGGAAGCAATTTGATTGCAAGCAGTTTGTGGACTTCTGTGACGAAAAGGGGGTGATTCTGCGCTTCTCATCCGTGGCTTATCCTCAAGCGAACGGGCAAGCAGAGGCTGCTAACAAAAGCATTCTGCACGGGCTGCATACGAGGCTTCTGGAGGCAAAGGGCAGATGGGTTGAGGAGCTCCCGAGCGTGCTATGGGCACACAGGACGACATACAAGGTGGCAACAGGAGAGTCCCCATTTGCACTGACGTATGGAAGCGAGGCGGTCATCCCGGTGGAGTTGCGCATCCCAACCTTCAGAATGGCAAGCTATGAGGCGCAGGCCAATGAGGGAGAGCGCGTGCACGACCTTGACATGCTGGAAGAACGGCGCGATGTCGCTTCCCTCCGCCTAGAGGCTATGAAGCAGCAAGTGGCGAGGTATTATAACAAGAAGATGCACCCTCACCAAATACGGCAGGGGAGCATGGTGTTGAAGAGGGATTTCAGGCCCAAGGCCAGTGAGGGAAAGTTAGCACCGAAGTGGAAGGGGCCCTACCGGGTTCGTGAGGTGGTGGGGCCGGCAACGTTCAAGCTGGAGCGCATGAGTGGGAAGAGCATCAAACGCACATGGAATGCGCAGAACCTACGTGTCTATCACAACAAGGAAGAGGAAGAGTTAGTGGGGTGAGACCAAGCAGCGAGGATGGGTAGAAGGGGGCAGATTTTGCGTAGGAGGCAGCCAGGAGAATTGAGTGTATCAAGCACTCTAGTCCAACGGCGCCCGTAGTTATCTAAGTAATTCCAAAAGCGCCCTTCCAGTTGCGCCCTGACTTGTGAGTAGTTTTTTTGGACAAGTACCAAGTCTGTGAGTAGTTTTATCTTAAGTAATCCCAAAAGCGCCCTCCTAATTGCGCCCTATGTTTGTCAAGTTGTACTTGCAAAAGCGCCTTTCAGTTTGCGCCCTGTGATTTTCTTTCAAGTAATTCCAAATGCGCCCTTCCCATTTGCGCCCTAAGTTGTGAGTAGCGTTTATCCAAGTAGTTCTCAAAGCGCCCTCTAAGTTGCGCCCTATGATTGATAAGCGGTACCTACAAAAGCGCCCTTCAAAGTTGCGCCCTATGGGTTTCGTTCAATTAATTCCAAAAGCGCCCTTTAAATTGCGGCCTACGCTTGTCAAGCACACGGCCAGCTAATGCGCCCCGCATAACGCCCCTCGCGTGATTTCAAGAGCGGGATGGCAAGGTAGAGGCAATGCGCCCCCAACGTAACACACTAAACGTAAAAATAGAAGCAACTAATGCGCCTTGCGAAAGGCGCCGATGGTCAATATAGGTAACACGCAAACGTCTCAGTCAAGGCAGGAAATACTTAGATTTTTGGATTGTTCGAAAAGGGAACGCAAGCATGGGAAGTAAACGTCTAAAAAAAAAAAAAAAAATTTCCAACACTTCCTTCCTTAACCTTCAAACTCCTTCATCATCCGCCTCCTCTTCATTCACCTCCTCTTCCTCGTCGGCTGCGCCGCCCCCCTCACAGGCCGCTGCGCCCTCAGTGGGTGGGGCTCCATCACCACCTCCTTCCGCTCCACCCCCAGCTGAGACAGCGGGCTCCGAGGCGCCTGAACGACTATCCATGGCGGACACAACATGCTCAATCAGAGCAATCGCGTCGAACTCCACGTCGGGATAATCCGCCTGGAACTTGGCACGTAGTGTCTCCACAGTCTGAATGATGACGTTGGCTTGGAGATTCTTACCGGGGCTCGACTCCGGCTAGTTGGTCAAGTCTTGCTCCAGCTGCCCGGCAACCTCTTGCGTCTTCTCCAGCTCATGCTTGTAGTGGTTCCGGGACTTCTTCAGCTTGCGACTGGCTTTCTCCAAGTCTTCGACAGTGGGACGGAGCACGTTCACCTCAGCTAGCAAGGCGTCGCGCTCCCTCACCAGCGCAGCATTCTCCTCCCGGAGTTTCTTCTCCGCACCGTCCCACTCAGCCTTATCTAAGTCGGCCTGCGCCTTGACCTCCTCTTCGACCTCTGCCCGGGTTTTGACGCGCTCAGCTTCCAACTTCGCCTCCAAGTCTGATTTGGTGGCTTTCAGATCGGCGCGCAGGCGCTCCGCAGAATCAGCAGCATTCGCCCCCTCGCGGGTAATGGCAGCAATTTCCCGCGAGGTGGCTTCACATAAAAGCATCATCTGGGACGCACAAACACAAGGGTTAGGCAATATAATTGGTAACGAAGGACAGAAGTAATACCTCGTGCGCCTCACAACCAGCATGTTACCTGAACGCTCATGTTGGTTAACCTTTGCCACGGCTTCGCGGTGATCAGGCCATTGGGGTGCTCAATGGCTTCATAATGCGCCCTAGCCATCTGAACGGAGGCGGGGATGTCCTTCGCCGCCCTAACCGGGACGTCCACGGCTACCTGGATTAAAGGTCGCTGGGGTGGCTGGAGATAGGGTGGAATCACCTGACCGGTGTGCGCCCCGATCGTGGGTTCCACGAAGCTTCGAGGCAAACCAGGCTCGTTGACGGCAGCAGTCTTGGGTTTTTTTCCCTTGTCAGGAAGAGCAGCGCCCGCCCTTTTCCGGGAAGCCATAGAAGAGGGGGACGGAGGAGTGCTGACTCCGATGGTCTCCCGGGGCGTAGATGCGGACGAGGGAGTCGAAGAAGAGGAGGCGGGGCGCCCGGAGGGAGAGCCTGGACCTCCCGTACCTTCGCCTGACTCAGCAGGCAAGGGAGACTGTACGTGCCTTGAAGTTGAAGAAGAGGATGCGCCTCGCCCTCTCCGAGGCTGCGCCCTCCTCGCGCGAGGCGCCAGGCTGTCAGACGCGACTGGGTGGACATTGGCATTTCGAAGAAGGTCGAGTCTCGACCTAATCAGGTTGGTCACCGAAGTGAAGTCGGTCCCTGCATCACAAACAGAGTAACATTGGGTTAGAACGCAAGGCGTCAAAGAAACGAACGCATAGTATTAGAGACGCATAGGCAAGAGAGGGCGCATGGCTACTACCATCGCCATAAAAATCAGTGAGAACGGGGGCATACTCATCACCCGCCTCAAGGTCGATGGGATAAGTCGATATGGACTTTGCCATGGCTTCCTCAGTCTCACTGAGGGGCTCCACCTTGTTAAAAGCGAAGCGTCTTCCCAGTGACCACGTTGAGCTTATTGGGCGCCGACTCTCGAAGAAGGAGACTTCGCGAGGTTTGACAAAAAAGTACGAGTCAAACCACGAGCGCCCCATCTTCACACAGCTACTTACAAAGCTGTACCCGAGTGACGTGCGCCTTTTCAAAATAAGGCAGTTATCACTAGCAATCATTTTAAAAAATGTTTAAAAAGCTTGAAGGTGGGGGGAACGTGATGACGCCGACATTGGTAGCAGAAGACGACAGTGGTCAAGACAACAGCGGGAGAGAGGCGCGCAAGAGGGCAGGCGCATGCAACCATCACGCCTTCAAGCACGGGGTCAATGGGGAAGCGCAAGCCGAACCGGATAAACTCCTGGTACAAACCCACCCACCCCTCGCCGCACAACCCAATTCGAGCATGGGGAGGCGCGTGGATGTAACGCCAGGGCGCAGGCATTTGGGCGCATACAACCAACTTCTCCAACCGCACTCCTAACTGTTTGGAAGAGTGATAGGGACCAACCTCCTCCAAAGGGAGTGTCCAGGGGTTCGGGGGCGCATAGCCAGGAGGCCACATCGAGTCCCACGGCCTGAACACGTAGTCCTGAGGCACGGGGGCGCCTGAGTAAAAGGGCGGGGAAAGGGTAAGGCATTGGCCAGAAAAGGAGGCGTGGCAAAAAAAAAAATTGTTTGGGGGGCGAATTTACATGGGCGAAGGCGCCCGGGGAATCAGCGAAATACTAGACGAGGGCGGGAGAAACCAGTGTAAAGTTAAGGCGCATAGGAAGAGACTTACGGGGTGCTGCAGGGTTGTTTGTCGCCCCAACTCCAGCGTGCGCCCGAGGCACTGGCGGCGAAGGAGCGGCAGGAGGCGCGGACGACGAGGAGGGCGCATTAGCAGGAGGCGGGGAAGGCTCGTGCGGCAAGGCGTCCGACCCGGTGGAAGGCGCACAATCGGTGGTCGGGATAGGAATCTGACGAGAGGACGCCATGGCAACTTGAGGCGCACAAGGAGGAATTTGAGAGCAAGGAAGCAGCTTGGGGTCTAGAGCGAGGAAGTAGAGAGAGGTGGGGGGCAGGTTATGAGAGCAACTGAGGGGGAGAAGGGATTTTATAGGGGGGCCAAGCGAACGGGGGGAGAGAGGAGAGGAAGGCGAAAAGGCCTCCCCAATCCCTTATCGATTTCAAAATTTGAATTTTGAATCGCAAGCGGATTGGGGGGGGGGGAGAGAGTGGAATCGCAAGAGTCACAATGGCGCGGAAAGAAAGGCGGAAGTGGAATAGCCGCGGGAAAAGAAAATAATAAGAAATAAAAAAATATATATATATACGTAGTAATAATAGAAAATAGTAATGATAATAGTAAGGAGTACGTAGTAAAGGAGAGAAGATAGTGCGAGTAAACAAGAGGGGAAAGCGCGCAACCAAACAGAGGAAGGCGCAGGCACTTCAACGGAGGCGCATGAGAGTCAGAGGAAGCGCGCAGACCCGGAGAGCAGCAAACATAGTCAGGCCCCTAACCTAGGGTGTTAGGCGCCTAACTGGGGGGCAATTGTTGGGGGAGTAAGTATGGGCCGAAGACCAATGCAATAAGAAAGGCCCAATGAGAGATGCAAGTGGGGGGCAGGCATGGGCCCAAACCGAGAAGCACAGACGAGCCCATGGGAAGTACAGTTCTTGGGCCAGGGGGCGCGCGGACAGAAGTCTGACTGGTCAGAAGGATGTGGGGGACAGGTGGGACCATGCTTCCAGGGAAGGCGCATAAGACAAAAGTAGCCAACGGTCTTAAGTGTACGAAAAGCTGACTGGGTGATGTCATGCGCCTAAGATCTCTGGCTTGGATGTCAGGTGGTCGAGGCGCATGTGCGGGGGGAGGTACGGTGCATTTATTGCGGACCTGACACAGGGCGAGAGCGATGTGTCCCGGTCGCCCTCGCCCCGGGTATAAATAAGTCAAGTAGGTGAACCTCATTTACTCAGTTTGACTTCTCTTACTAGAACTATTCATTCACTTCTCTCTCTAAAACGAGTAGGTTCTTACTTGAGCGTCGGAGTGCTAACGGGCCACACGGTCCGCTAGGTGCTTGTGTGGGTGCAGGAGGTTCAAGGCGCAGGAGGGCCAAGGAGATAGGAGGGCGAGGCGTGCGAAGGAGGTTCTCAGGCTCAAACAGAAAGAAACGATCATTTTTAAATTAAAAAAATTTTGTTTTAAAAAATTATAATAAAAAAATTTTGCCCCGAAATTGAAAATTTGTTTTATTTTTTTCGTTCAAAATGATAAAGGAAAGAAAATGGAAATAGGTGTAAATTAAAAAAAATAATTGAAATTTGCTGAGTTGGCAGTGACATGGCGCGTTGACCATTAGTCAACGCATTTGACCGTCCAAGTTAACGGTAAAAAGTCGGATCTGGCAAAATTGTTTATTTTGATGTATAGTTCGGGCCAGAATGTTATAGATCGAAAAGAATGGCCAGGATGTTTATTTTGGTCAAAGTTCAGGCCATACAAAAATATTAACCCTTTTTATAACCATATCGAAAAGTTTAGTGGTTAATGATTCAACGATTAATTTTTGGTATGCCTATGGTGATAAGTCATCATAATTTGGAGAAAACGGTCGGCCTCTTCTATCAAGTGGTCTACTACATGAGTAATTAGGTCTTGAAAATGGATCAACCTGATGACACATTTGTCTTCAAGTGGTCAACCTCTTCCATCAAGTGGTCGACCACTTTCCAAGAAAATGGTTGACCTCTTTCATCACGTGGTCTACCACTTGAGTCAACCAGTCTACGACTTTCGGAAATGGGTCGACCTGATAACACAATTGCCTTTAAGTGGTCAACCTCTTTCACCAACCACTTTCCAAAAAATGGTTTACCACTCTCGAGGCAACCGGTCTACAACTTATGGCAGTTGGTTTACCTGTGACACACTTACCTTCAACTGCTTGTTGGAGGAGGTAGACCGCTTCCGCCAAAACATCCTACCGATTCCGAAAAATGGTTTACGTACCTTTTTATGCGAACGATCTCCGCTATGGTCGACCAAATGACATAGCTACCTTATACTTATATTAGGAAAATAATGGACTACAAGATATACCAATAATATAAAATAATTTTTGTACTAATGCAACATCCTATCATTTGTGGGCAACCAAATCTCTATGCAGATGATAGGCCAAGACAAAAAGAAACACCCTCTTTGAACTCTTATGGAATAAAAATCCACAAAAGCGATGATATGAGATTTATGAACGTTGAAGATGACACAATTGTCTAACAAATATACTTTAATTTTTTAGCATCTTCATAAAACCAATAGCACCAAAGTTGATCCATCACAAGACAACTATAGGATAGAAACAAGAAAACTTAGAATTTGAAGAAAAGAAGAAAGTCTCTATAAAGTAAGTCAAATATAAGAAATAAATATACGGAACATTTTTCAAATCTACGGGAGAACAATCGCTCGAGAAACTTGTCATCTATGCTTTCAGTATTTGTACTAATTTTAAATCTCTTACTAGCAAGCATATCTGTTGTTATTGGACTCTCATTATATATGATGATATCACTAGAAGTGGACCGCTTGGGTGAAGAGGTAGACCACTTGATGGAAGTGTTAGATCATTTTTTGTATAGTGGACGACCTTTTCTTGAAAGAGGTTGATCGTTTGTTGAACATAAAATAATTGAAAATAGTACATCTGGTCGACCATTCCAACAATGAGGTCGACCATTTTGTCCAAATAGGTCGACCATATCAGTGAAGAGGTTGACCGTTTTATCCAAAATAGGTCGACCATATCAGTGAACAAGTCGACCATTTTGTCCAAGTCACAGTGACTTGCAAGTCACCGTAGCAAAGTCTTTAATTTTTATAGAACAATTAGTTAACTATTGACAGAATCGTTTATACTCTATAACATAAAAGAAATATATACTATATTAATTTAGAAGTAAAATTATCACTAACCATAAACGATTCAAATTGCACTTTTTGATAATTAAAAACTTACATTACATTACTGTTTCTTAAATTCCAATCTAACATTAATTTCATTTCTCTCTCCCTATCTCTCACTTTCCCTTTCCCCTATCTCCCACTCTCCTTTTTCAGCAGTCGTTTTGCCTTGCATCGGCGAAATTCCTCTAATAGATTCCCTCCGGCGGACTCATTCCGACCACCTAGCAAAAAAGTATCACTTCATTGAAAAACGTATCACTATGAGAAAATTGCACATCCATTAGACTGATAACACTACCGCTGGACCGGTATCACTAAAATATACCACTCAACTAAAAAGAGTACCACTACCACTAGACTAATAATACTACCACTAGATGGATAACAATACCACTAGACTGATAACACTTCCACTAGACCGATACCACTATCATTAGACAAATAACGCTACCACTACACTAAGTAAATAGCATTACCACTAGACTGATTACTACCACTATACTAGAATGCAAAAGACCTAGATCTGGAAATTGAAAATTCACTGATCTGTATAAAACAAAACCGGGGGGGGGGGGGGGGGGGAGGAAGAATAGTGCCAGAGGGATGCGTAGAAGGCAACAACGATGTTGGTGGTAGCAGGTGGCAAGGCGAGTGATGAAGTCTCATCTTTGAGCTCAAGAGATAAAAGGGAACCGAAAACAAGAGTTTGGTTGGTTTCGTAGATCATGGTCAGTACTCTACTTTTGATCCTTGTATCTTAAGTTCAGGGCTTCCATGTGGTTTGCAACTCACCTGTCATTCTAGTAAGCATTACAAGCTTTCCAGGAAGCCATCAATCCCCTCCATATTCCAACTGATGTGGATAAGGCAATTGAGGCGGAACCACCACCTGGTTCTCTTTTAGAAGATCATCCTGTGGCCATCAAGCCTCCCAAAGGGAACTTCCTCAATCATCAAGCACTCACCATCACTGCAGTTGAAGAAGAAAATCAGAGGCACAACATTTTTCACACTCGTTCCAAGGTAAACACCCATTTAGCGTCGATGATCATTGACGGGGGTAGCTGTGTGAATGTAGTTAGTGCTGAAGTAGTGAAGACATTGGGATTGAAGAATGAAAAGCACTCAGAACCATACAATCTGAGATGGTTGAATGACTGCAGATAAGTCAGGGTAAATGCACGAGTTACGGTTCCATTTGAGATTGACACTTACCGGGACAGTACCAAGTGCGATGTTGTCCCAATGCAAGCCACCCACCTTCTCCTAGGGCGTTCTTGGCAATATGACAAGAATTTGTTGCACAATGGATATACCAATTCATATATCTTCAAGCATGGAAGAAGAACACTAGAACTTTTGCCATTATCTCCATCGGAGGTGGTCGAAGATCAACGGAAGCTTGCCTGAAGCTTCACAGAGCTTGGCACTAGCTCAATGTCCTCCAAGAAGGGGCCTGAATAGACTTTGATGGCCCAAAGATACCTGCTGATGAGTTTGCAGGGGCATAGCCTCAAGGTTCGTTGCCGGCAAAAATTGCCCTATTCTGCCGTTCCCCTGAAGCAGGCCGTCTGGCGTGGAGTCCTGGAGCCGACTACGAAAGTCTTAGAGGGTGTGGACACACCTCAAATCTACCCAACAAGCTCGAACAAATGGCAAAAGGGAACTGCAACGTCGACAGCCTTGATTCCAGAGTGCCCAATTTTGGAACTCCCGTCGGAGCGCAATCGACGGTCGCTGGAAAATGGAAAAAATTTCAGTTCGAGAATCTTCCTATTTTTGCAGGAATTTGCTGGGAAACTAGTGGGAATAGTATCTTATGACTTGTCTGAAGTACTTACCGCTCCAATGATCTCCATGAACCAACTAATTCAAGTCCAAAAGCGAATCGATTCAAAGGAGAGAAAATTTAACTTCTGGGATCTTGTTTGGGAAGCTACTTTGTTTCGTTCTCGTTGTAGACGTGATCAAGTTTTGTGAGCAAAGCTTTTTCAATAGGGAGGGCCCGATGAAGTCTCA